TTTTAAAAATTTTGTCTACCTCCAGACAGAGAAAACATTCTAGATTAGAGGATCATTTTAGAAGTGAGGAGCCAAGCTCTTGTAAGATAACAAAAATTGAAAATGTATCACGAACATTAAAAGGAAAATGGCCGTTCGCGCGAACGTCGGATTCGAGAACTTTTCCGACGTCCGCGCGAACGGCCATTTTCCTTTCCGCGCCGCGGGGAATTTTTGACCGCCGAGGACGGGCGGTTTTTCGAGCCCTGGTCAAGAGTACAAATCCGTGGAAGAAAAGGTATGTTTATTCAGAGAAAATACGTTTTTTTATGTGATTTAGACAGTTAAAATATCATCTGAAACATATAATCTGAACTGAATAATTTGCATATTTAAGGTTAGGCCCTTCGAAATGTAGAGATTGAGTCTAGTATGCAGCAATGCCAACTGCTCCGCTTCCTGCCAAAGTTCTATTGAATTGGTGGCGAATTAAATAGCAAAACCCTTAAAACAATGATAATTGCGTCTACTTTTTGAATATGCCACCACTAGATAGCTTCAATATAGTTGCATTTCATATGATACTTTGCATTTTCGATATATAGTGGTGGAAAAAATACTTAAAATGAAAAATATTAAACTAACAATAATCTGAATTTCGTCAACACTAGAAAATATTTTTTAAAAAGCGTAGTAAGTTGGCATGTCTGACCACCTGAAAGTCCAATCAATAAATCAAAAGGTATTCCGGGAGCTCGTTTTTTTTTATTATTTTGTGCACTGCAAAATTAGAAAACAAATATTCAATTAAATATATTGTTTTCTTATCTTTTAATAACGATTTCACATGGAGATCCCCAGTATCTTTCGGATTTCAGCAGGGGCTCGTAAGTTGATAAAGACTGTGAGCCACCAGCTTAGAGAGTTAAATTAATTTTACATTAAGTCACGAGTACTACGACAACGTGAGCAAAATGATAAGTAGTTTTTCTTACGCTAAAACGCAATTGTATGCTAATGAAAAAAATTTACTATGCTCGCGTGTCAAAAGCACTCCACATTCCGAAATAAAAACGAGTTCTAAAAATAACTTCTAGACATTTTGAGTATAGCTTATTTAAAGATTCGTGAATCATTTTATAAAAGAAACAAAGTGTACAAATTGTTTTTCTGAATTTCTGAGATTATTCATTTATCAGGGTCACGTGTTTAATTAAAATATTTCGTCGACACTTGTTTATGTTTTGTGGGATGTACACTTATAGGAATTATTAAAATAAGCTTTTGAGATTAGACATGGGCATTTTTATGACAGAATTTTTTGTGTAAAGAAAATTAAATAAAGAAAACACCTGTTTACTTGTAAGCAAATTTTGTTTTTTGTGAAATTTACGTGTAAAAATAAGTATAATTTTGAATTTGGGCTTTTGCTTAGAACTTATGGTTTTCTTGATTAGAGACATTAAACGTAAAAATATAGCAAATAATAAAACATTTCTCTGATTTAGGCTTTTGTATTTCGATAAAGTTTAATTAGCATTTTTAGAAAGGAATGAGGCATAAATTAATTTCAAATAGATCTATTTAACAGAAAAACATACATTGCACATATATAAAAACATATTTTATATCGAAAAAAAAGTTAT